GCTGAGGTAGCTAAGTGTTCACGTCCCCCGAAATCAAGCACAGGTCCAATCATGCCATTGTTTTGGCCCTTTCTTTATTTCAGCTTCCCCACCATGAGCTAAGGATTCCTTCTAAAACTCCTCTGTCCCTTTTCAGACTTTGTTTCCCTGGCAGGACCCCAGCTGAATTGCAGGAGCTAGAAACTGCATGTAAAAATAAGCATTCTATAGGAAGAATAAGATCTTTAGAAAATTATCTAGGAAAAACAAATAGTTCTTGATTCATCCAGAACTTAGTTCTTTATGAATCATAGCTAGGTCCTTTCCAGAGCTCATCCTTAATAGATATCACTAGAGAAGGTGGGAGGGTGGGTCTAGAACTTACTCTAGAGCAATAATATGGCTATATAAGCTCCAGTTCCATCCTGGAGAGAGGGGCTGAGAGTTGTGGTCTATGTCCCAGAGTTGAGATTCAGAAGGGAGTATGGCTCCATATGTGTCTAGAACATCATGCTCTAGAACTGGGTGTCTCTGGGATAAAAATAAGTTAAACCTGTGGTAATCTGAGACTGGTCCCAGTTCAGGCCAAGGCCAAGAGTTGGACAGGGCTCAAATCCAGGCTCTCTCTACTTGGAATCCAGGGGTCCATCTAAGTTAAGGAAGCCTGATGGATCCAGAACAGAGCCTAGCAGCATGCCTGCATTCTAGTCTTTGTACAGAAATGGCCCTGGCTAGGGTGCCTGGTGTTCCAGAACCTCCAGAACAAGGCAGAAGGTAGAGTAGAGAAAGAAGGAAACTAATCCTGAGCTCCAGTAGACCTATAAATCTATGGCTCAGTGGCAACGAAAAGGGCAAAGGGCTCCAGAAACCGGCTGAGCCTGGGGTGCAGAGTATTTGTGTCCCAGTTCTGTCAGTTTGGGAACCCCCAGCTCCATCTCTGGAAAAGACTTTGGGGTATGTGAGTATGGAAGGAAAGAAGTGATCCACCAGGCCCATTTTCAGACATCTCCTTCTCTGGCTTCCTCCTGGATCCAAGGATCTAAGGGTCTCAGCAGTTCCTAGGCTTCCTCATGTTAGAGCACCTGGTGGAACCTGGCTGCTCAGGGCATGAGTATGGCAGCTAGGGTGAGAGCAGGGCCAGGAGCAGGGCTGGAAGACAGACTGTGGTGGTGGCTGGCTCAGTGCAAATGCAAAAGCCTCCAGTCCAAGGTTTTCGTTTCAGGGGGCAGGGTGACTGGAAGGGGAAGTCTCAGGGACACTGTGGAGAGAAGGCTCCCGGTACATGGCCACTGTAAAGGGGAGAGAGAGGAGCAGGAAGGAGAGTTAGGCACAGAGAGACCTAGGGAGAATTAGAGCACTGAAAATGCTCTCTTCCCCTACACCCATCCTCTGAGAACCCCAACCCAAAGGAGGAAAGCTCCCCAAACCCCCAAAGACCAAAGCCTTCCTGGCTTGACCTGTCATAACAGGTGTCTTCTTGTAGCCCCTGAGCTATGTATCACTAAATGTCCATGTCAAAGTCAATATCCTCCCATGTGGCCCCCATTTTCTTCAGTCCATACTCACCCTCCAGGAGCTTGGGCACAAAATGGGCAGCTGCCTTGGTCTTCTTGACTCGATTTCCCTTCATGACGCGGCCCTCCTTGTCCAATCCTAGGTACCAGGCCCGGCCAGAACGGCATTGACGGTAGAGTGCAGAGGCATACAGGACATAGTAATTCTCAAAGACACATTCCTTAAAGCGACACTCAGCTGTGAAATGTGGCTGAGGAGACAAAGACCCAGTAAGGCACACACAGACAGACAAAGACACATCATCAGACAGAAGGGAGCCCTGGGAAGAACAAGCCATGATATAATCCATACATTTCAGGCTGGGAGGGCCAACTTCTGAGTCCATGTGGGAACTGGGAGAAAGGGAGGACAAGGAAGAGTCTGGTAGGCCCCTGAGGGTTAGGAACTAGACTTTTGGGAGCCCTGGAATAAGAAGATACTTTCTCTTCACTCTATTCCCAATATTTCACCATCCCCTAGCCTGAATGACTCTGAGGACGTGAGTAATAATGAAGTCCTGAGAAAGTTGGATGAAAAATGGGAACCCTAAAACAGGGAACCCCAATCCCCAGGCCATGGACCGGTCAGTCTGTGGCCTGTTAGGAACCAGGCCACACAGCCGGAGGTGAGCAGAGGGCAAGCAAGCAAAGCTTCATCTTTATTTGCAGCTGCTCTCTAGCACTAGCATCACCATCTCAGCTCTACCTCAGATCATCAGGCATTAGATTCTCATAGGAGCACCCGTCTCTGGTGCAAAAAAGGTTGGGGACCCCTGCCCTAAAGAACCTGGGGCATCTGGAGAGCTGTGCAAAGAGTAAAGATTAGAGCGACCGTTCAGGAGGTGCTCTAGAGTGGACAGTGATGACAGGACATCAGCAAGAACTGGAGTTAAGGGAATCCTGAGCTGTAAAATCTCTGCAGTTGAGAAAGTTATAGCTGGGGAAGTCCCCAAACCCCAGGCCACTCAGCCTCTTTGTCTCACCGAGCTGTAGAGCAACCCGTCAGCATTCATGGCCATATAGTGACCCAGCTTGGCACTCTGGATGGTGACCACACGGAGCCCCACGGGGATCAGATTGAAGTGGGCTAGGATGGAGAGAGGGGGCATCAGTACCCCAGACCTTGAACCCCCATCTGAGCTCTCCCCATCCTAGCTCCCTTTCCTCCCTTGGGAGTCAGAGTCAGACTGAAAACAACGACCTGAAGGAATAGGATTGTCATCTCTTAGCCCCACTCTCTCCCTTCCCACCCAGTGGCTGGCTTCCCCTCTTACTGAAAGAGCTGGTGTCCTCTGGGGTGCCCTGGATACTGCCATCAGGATTTGCCTGGAGGTAGAAACCCTGGCGGCAGAACAGTTTGGTGACGATGCCTTTGAGCTGAGGCTCTGGAGAGAGAGACATTAATCTTTGAAAATGACATCTCTGTTCCCAGAAACATTCCTATACTTGGGATCAGAAGAAAGAAGGGAGAGTGAAAGGAAGAAATAGGGTCCCTGGGCCCCAGCTCTCTGACCCTCCAAGAAGGCTCTCTCTCACCTCTTTCAGACTCCCTAGAAAACTGGGGTGTGGGTCCCTTCTGTTTCCTCTAACCATCAGCTTTCAGTTTAATTTATTGAAATTTATTTAAATGGCTTAATTCCTACTCTACAGAGCAACTAGAAGGGGGGAGGGGAGAGGAAGGGAAGAGGAAAGGGAGAGATACATCAAAAGACAGAGGACAGAGAGAGACAGACAGGGCTGCTGAAGGGGCAGTGTGTTTGCAAATGTGGAAGGCAGTGAGATGACCAGGGGTAGGGGGCCGGCTCAAGAGCGGGGATGGGACTGGGCCTGATGCTGACTCAGCACCTGCTGCTGCGGCTGCCGCTCTCTTGGCCCAGGCTTCGCTTTGGTCCAGCGCTGGCCTGTCTGACACTGACCCATCTGTCTGTCTGTCTGTCTGTCTGTCTGCTGACTCGGGGGCCCAGCCCTCCATGAGGCTCAGCCTCTCCGCTTCAGTCAGGTAACCTGCCTGGAGTGGGGGACCTTCGGTACCAAACCAAGGAAATGGGGGGAGGGGCGGGGGAGATGGCGAGGCAGGCTGAGTCACGTGGGGCCCGGTCCCACTCAAAGGGTGGGCTGCGGACCATACCACGGTGGCCGGCCGGTGGCGGTGGGGGTGGTGGTGGAGGAGGGCGCGAAGGGGCTACACCCTGGGGGAGCTGGGAGCTGGCGAGAGTGGGACCAGAGGGACTCCCTGCTTTTCATACCTGGACAAGGACTACACGCTAATCCTCACAACTGTCTTTCTGTCTCTAGCTCTTGGACGACTTTCTTGTACCCCCTTGTAGGTGGTACGAACCCCCCAGTATCGGTGTGGGTCTCCCACCAGCCTTGTACTGTGTCTGAGTTCCTTGCCGCAGAGGGTACCCTGAGCTCGTGGGACCCAATTTGGAGTCATGTGGTGGGTAATAGGGGTGTGTGTGTGTGTGTGTGTGTGTGTGTGTGTGTGTGTGTGTGTGTGTGTGTGTGTGTGTGTGTGTGTGTGTGTGTGTGTGTGTGTGTGTGTGTGTGTGTGTGTGTGTGTGTGTGTGTGTGTGTGTGTGTGTGTGTGTGTGTGTGTGTGTGTGTGTGCGCGCGCGCGCGCGCCCAGTTCCCCTCTTGAAGCGCAGGATACGGGAGGAGGGCGCACAAGAGGGGCTGGGCTGGCGAGGTAGCTGCAAGGACACCCCGGGGAGAGCTGGGGAGATTGGTGCCGAGCCAAGCAAGCTCGGCCAGGAGGAACCGAGCCAAGGCATGGAGGAGCAGGAGAACCGGGGCAGGGGCGGGGCTGCCGGAGCCGCAGAAACCCTCGGGGTGACCCAGGCGTCCGGAACCCCCAGGCCTCTGGGCTTGGGATGGAAAGAATCGCGAGAGCCCGCACGTAGGCTAAGGATAGTGGGGGTGGGGATCCTAGGGTGCTGTGAGCAGGAACTGCGAGGTTTGGGGCACCAGACTTATCCCCTCAAGCCTTCCCCTTGCCCTCGAAAGCAAGGAGACTTCGGGTTACGTGCAAAAGAAAGGGGAAACTGAGGCACAGACTGGTAGAGATTTTGTTGTCCTGGCCCACCCCTTTTCACTTTTCTTGGAACCCCCGTCAGTTGGGCCCCATTCTTCAGAGCCCCTCACCTTAACCTCCCAGGCAGACCGCCCAGTCCCAGGGACCCCGCCCCAGGCACTCACCCGGGCCGCGGTTCGGCCGCGCGGGCCGCCCCCCGCATAGTCGCACCTTGGACAGCAGGATGAGGAGCTGCTTCTGGCAAAGAGACTTGGTGCCGCGGGGACACACGCGCCGTTGCGCCGACACAGGCCGGCTGCCCCCAGGCTCGCGGACCTCCCGCTTCTGCCGGATCAGGCTACTGGCCAGCGCCGCCATGGCGCCCCCGGTAGGAGACAACCCCAAACCGGCAGGCGCTCGAACCGCGCTGGGCTCCCCCAGAGAAGCCCGCTCACCACGGCATGCTCTTGGTGCTCTCTCCCTACTCAGCGCCCCACCCACAGGACCTGAGGATAAACCTCAGGGCCCCTCCACCCCCAGCTGCCAGCTCCCACCCTTGGGCCCCCCACGTGATAGCTTCACCAGATCCAGCAGCCTATGTACCTCTCAATTAACCCTACCCTCGACTTTTATCCCCTACTGAAAACTGCCCCCTCCTTTGCTCTCCAGTATCCCTGTCCCCACTTCCCCTATCCCAAAGCCAAGACCCTCAAAATTTCCAAGATGTGATTCCAATACCCCCAGGCACCTTTCCACCCTATTTTGGGTCCTCTGTACTGCTAGCCAAATCCACTCTTGTAATCTAAAAGGTGTGGGTCTTTAGCTTTGAGGATCTTAGCTCACCCCACCCCAACTGGGGCACTGACAATGTGAGGGAGGAACCCAACCTTGATGTCTTTGCCACCCTCCAAGTAAAGAAGATCCCCACTTTTTTTCACTGAAATACCCAAAAACTATATCAGAATATCTAGGCTGTCCCCATTCAGTGAGAAGGGGTTCCCACTCTGTTTCTGGATAATACTTTTTTTCACCAAGTCACCCCCATTCCTACTAGCACAGAGTTCCAGCTGCTGATTCCCTTTCTTCACCTTGTTACCCTCCACTCCTTTTGAAGTCACCTCCAAATCCACCCTTCTTAGCGGGTACACCAGGTGGTTTTCCAGAGGGCCCTCTGTCACCTCGAAATAAGGAGCATCCGGGGTTTTTTTGTTTTTGTTTTTGTTTTCTGGCTGCCCCTTAATTTCCTGGGGACAGCTGGTGCTGTTTAGATCCCACGCCCTCCAATCCAACAAGCCCCCTGAAGAGGAGTGCACCCACGCTATCCAAATGTGAACAGGCCCCCTACAAGTCAGAGCACATCAGAGCGTTCTGCGTCAGGGCTTTCTCATCCTCCCCAGGACTACCTACAGTACCCCCCCCTTTCCCCGACGCCCCTTAACCTGTCCTGTCTTGTTGATCCGGCGACGGGTGGCGCTGGCTCCGGTTCCAGGCTCCTCCCTCCCCAGCAAACAGAGCTTCCCCCCACGCCGGGCTAGGCGTCCCGGACTCCCCAAAAAGAGTGAGATGTCCCCGCAGAGCGCCTTGGTCTGGCAAAGTCAGAGCACTGGGCCTGGCGACTGGACTAAGCGCAGTAGCGGCGGCAGCGACTGTGGGAGGCCGAGGCGGCCACCGCAGCTCCCCCCGCTTCTCCGAGAGCCGGCCCGGGGGCGGGGCAGGGGGCGGAGACACGGGGAAATAGGGTGAGGCTGGGCTGGTAGAACTCCCGGGTTCCTTGGAGGCAGGGAGTGAAGACAGTCCTACAGACAAGCGGGGCCAAGGCAAAGGCGCATGTCTCAGGGTTCAGAGCAGAGACAAAGAGATGACTCCACTGAAATGGAACCCTGGATGGGGGGAGAGGTTGGGTTTAAGACAGATGGAACGGTAGACACCCTAAAATGGAGAAAGGGACCCTACTGCCCGGGATAGGTGGACAGAACTAAATGAATAAAGTAGAGGAAATAACTGAAGAGACTGGGGAAAAGGGGTGGAGGCCGAGATCTGGCCTGGAGAGAAATCTGGCCTCCTTAATATAGCCCTTTTTGAGTGAGTCAAATTGGTCTTTCTCCGGTCTCCATACTTCTCCTTTCCCCGTTTTGCCAGCAAATATATTCCTCCCAATCCTACTGACTCCTGAGAGAAAAGACCATAGGAATTGGGGGAAATGTTGCCAGAGGCTGCACCAGGAAGGACGTGAGGGATTTTGGCCACAGATTTGGAGTGGAGGAGACTGAATGGAACGACCTGTACCAGGGTTGGGGCGGAAGGAGGGTGGGATGACGGGGAGGCACCCGCGAAGCCTAGAACGGGACCTTTGGGTCCAGGATGTTCAGTGTCTCCCCCAGGCAAGGGGCGAGGACTCCCCTCCACATCCACTAGCTAACAAAAGCACTTTCTACGCTGGTAGGAATAGTACCATTTAATGGACCCCGCCCCCCACGCCAGCTAAACCACCTCCCTTGCGCGCAGCCTTGGCCTCCTCCACCGCGGCGCACAGGGCCCGGGCAGGGTCCCCACGAAGCTGGGTTAATGCCAAGAGTAATGCAGCGGCACCGTGCCCCGCACACAGCTTTCGGCCGCTCAGAAAATAGTGGGGCAGCGTCCCAGCCTCGAGCACACGCCCCAGCTCATCCAGCAGCCCGAGGCAGCAGGCGCCCGCATTTTCAGGCCGCCCCAAATAGAGGGCGGGCAGTCGCTCACAAGCCCAGTAGAGCAACGTCCGCAAAAGATAGGGCGCCGCGACCCGGGTCCCGGCCACCAGCGGGCGCAGTAGCGCCTGGGCAGCCGCGTGCGCTTGCAGTAGCGGAGCGGGTATACGCGCCTTGAGCGCCAGCTCCTGGCGGGCAAAGCACAGCTGCCAGCCGGAAGCTCCCGGCCGTTCCATGCCGCTGCCGGGCACCAGGTAGAAGGAGGACGACTCGGAGGTCAGCGGGCCAGCCCACGAGTGGCTCCGAGCCCCCTCGGGCCAACCAGCCACGGACACCACAGGGATCAAGTCGAAAAGCAGGAGGCGGCGTGGGGGCCCTGGCGTAGCCAGGAGGACGGTGGTGAACCCCGCGTGGCGGGCTGCGTGGACCAAGCGCGGGGCACCTGGGACTGGGAACAGGGACTCGGCGACCTCGGCCAGCGTAGCAAAGAACCACGCAGCCACCTTGGCAGGGCACAATGTGGGCCATGCCTCCGGAGCCTCCGACGGCTTTGGGACTGAATTATCCATAGCTGCTTTGGTGACATCACCATTCAGTTTTTTCAGCAGTGCAGGAAAGCCAAGATCAGTTACATCTTGCCGAGGCGACTCGGGCCTCGAACTGTTACTAGGTGATTTTTCCAAAGACACATGCGACTCGGGCTCAGTGATGTAACTGTGCAGCTCGTCCATGGAGCTTTGCTGGTCCTTGGGACTTTCTTCGCTTTGGGTTTGGTGGGTCGAATCAAGTTCTCCTGTGACTGGGGGTCCTAGGCAGTCCTGCCATGCCTCTCTGACCGAGGTCCCCTGCATCAGTTCTGGAAGGCAGAGCCAGGCGTAACAGGATTCCATGTCCAGTTGCAGCTCCTGCCCAGTGCCGTCTAGAGAAAACACGGGCACCAGGAGTGTGAAGCCGGCGTCGTAGTGAGGTCCCCGGGCGTAGGGCCCTAGGGGTGCAGGCCCCAGATCCAGGGAGCCCTCGCGAATTCCGCCACGAAGCAGCAAAAGCTCTAATTGGGGAGGAAAGCGGGGATCCCGGCGGTGAACAAGACCTACGGGAAGAGACGGGATTGTGAGGGCGTGGCCCAAAGCCAAGGAGGGGCTGAGAACAGCGAGTTTCTGAAGGCAGGGAAGGTTACCTACCAAGTAAAGAGAAAACAAAGTCCTTGGCTCGGAGGAGGTCTGGCCCAGGCTTGGGCCCGTCACTCCAGCTCTCCTGCACACCCAGCTCCTGGATAAGCTGGGTTAGTTCCTGCAGCTGCGCCCCAGAGCAGAAGTCGATGTCAGTGAGCGGGCGGGCTGGGGCTGGAGGCGGCGGGCCCCACCAGGGGGCACTTCCCCAGACTGCAGAAGCCATGTGGTTCTATCTTTTGGGGCTAGAGAAAACACCGACAGGAGGAAGGCTAGATGGGCTGTTCTTTTGCTTCTGAAAAGTTTCCTCCGTTCTTTTTTCTTCCCGAAGCCCAGAGAGAGCTCCGAGACAAGTCTGCCAATGGATCTGCAGAGAAAGGGCTCCAAATTTAGTCTCGAAAACAAACAAATACCTCCTTCGTCCCTGTCCTTTCTCATAAGCTGGTCCTCGCTCCCATGGACCGATTCACCTGACTCGGCAGGTTAAAGGTAGCTAGCTGTTAGGCCCCTCTTACGGAATGCAATAGCCAGTCTCCTCCGCTGCCCCTTGTCTACCCTCCCTTACCTCTTTTTTGGAAGAGGGTTGCTGTCCGTGGCTTCCCTCTGGGGAAGAAAATGGATAGAAAGATTCAACAGGTAACTCTTTCCTGCTGCCTGCGAGGCCACGCCCTTAAATTACAGCCACGCCCCTTTCTCAAGACAGGGTGGTTCTGGGCGGACCCCGCCTACGTTATCACTTCTCTCGCTCCGCTGAGATCTCGCGCTATCCTGGAAGTTGTAGGTTGTCGTCTTCGCTACCAGGGCGTTGTGTCTTCGCCGCACACGCTTTCCTGTTCCGCTGAAGTAGTGCCTGCTTGAAGTTGTAGTTTCTATGGACCTAAACTGTTCTGCTTCTTTCCAAGCCCGGGTCAGCCCTACACAAACATTGCTTAGAGTTTGAGCAGAGGCATAATAGGATGGATCTGAATAGCAAACAATAGTGGGGAGCATACCTAGGGCCTGGGGAGAAATAAGGCCCTCTATATCCTATATGTGAGTAGAGGAGCCCTGGTCATTTAGATCTGGGAGGGTTTGTCCATGCAATCATTTTGGAAATGAGACTGCAGCCTAGAAAGGTTGCACATGACTTGTCCAAGGTCAGAGAGGTGTTAGAAAGGAGCTCCCCAGATGGGCAGTTTTCCTTGGAATCCCTGGCGGTAGTGCTAGGCAGAAACACACAGGTGACCCAGGAATGGACATCTGACTCAGGAGATGGACATATATTAGTAATGTCCACCTCAGACACACATGTGGTGGCAGGGAGAGCACTTTGGAATCTCACAACTCATGTGTACACTGAAGAGTTATCCGGACTGAAAATCAAGTCCAGAGGAAACTTCCAGTTGGGCTGGGGCAGGGCAAAGGGAAATTATCAGGAGAAGGAAATTGTTTTCAGTAACCAATGCTATCAGAGATACAGCTTAAGTCAACGATGACACTATGAGCCAGAATATTAAGACAGAAAAATAGGAAACCAGACACAGGCTCACAGATCAGACCAATCCATTGATGGAACAAGACTTCTTACATCCCCCTTTCCCCAGGGAATATCTCCAGAGTGAGATAGGCCTAAGTCCATGGGCAAGAGAATTAAGCAGAGACACCTAGAAAAATCAGAGTCCTGTGAAGGAGGGGATCCCCAGATCCAGAGCTCAATTTGGGGAGCCCAGATCTCAGGAGTTCCTGGTCATTGACAAAGAGCTCATCTCCCTCAGCAACTCAGAGCCCCAAAACACAGCCCAGAACTGGGGAGGTAGGTTTCCACACATCTGGTTGTGGCCCAAGAGACCAGATCAGGAAAACTGAGGACTGGGCTCATTCTCATAGTCTGGGCTAATCAGGCACTGGGGTATCCTTACATTTTACCTCCTCCCCAGAGGGTGGCCTATGAGGCACCCTAAAAAGAACTAAGTTCTCTGGGCTCTCTGGGAGTTTTGAAGATGCTGGGGATGGGTGACAAAAGAAAGAGTTCCTCTAAACTCTAAAGCATTGCTGTCCAATAGGATTTTCTGTAATGATGAAAATGTTCTAAATCTGTGCTGTCCAATACAGTAGCCACTAGCCACTCATGGTTACTGAGCACTTGAAATGTAGATAATTAGAAGGAGGAATAGAATTTTAAATTTTATTTAATTTTAATTAATATACATCCTAATAGCCATATTTGGCTACTGGCTACAGTATTAGAAAATGCAGCTCTAGGACCTTGGAGATAATGGGTTTAGCTCTGCAACTATGGAGGAGAAGCAGGGGAAAGTATAGTTCCAGTCCTCATCAGGCCCTGTGGGTGGCCAGCATCAGGAATGGGGCTGGGGTGGATGTCCTCAAACAACCACAGAACACTTCTCTCGCCTCTTTATTCTTGATGCACCTTTGTCCCCTCTTTTTCTGAGGGCTTCATCACACACTGATATCCCCACTCGGCGGTGGTCTCCACTGAGTTGCTGGATGCCTCTTGGCAAAGACGCCTGGGAGATAGAGCTTCACACTTGTCTCTGCCCACTCCAAACTGTCTCTGGCGGGCATCAAAGACTACATGCCCTACTCGGGTGCCTGGCCCAGGACAGTGGGTCTTCCGGTTGATTTTTGGAGGCACAGACATTTGGCGATAGTTCTGGCAGGCTGGAGGAACTGTGTCCACAGGGCGGTACACCCAGTCTTGGCTGCCTGCTCGCCGGGAGGATGGTTGTAGCTCAATTAGCACAGGTACCTCTGAGAAGGTTTGCAGGTCATTGCAGATCACCTGGGCCTTGGAAGAGCAGTTCTGATTGAGTGGGACTGAAGTCCACAATACATGCTGCTCTGCATCCTCCTTCCGAGGAGTCTCCTCAGATACAAATGACTTAATCAGGGACCGTGTGGACTTTGGAGTCTGAGATGGGCCCAAGACTTGGACAGAGTCAGTACCTAGAACAAGGCCTGGGTTCTTGTGGAGGTCAGGATTTGGGATAAGGCATGAGTCCTTGTGGAGGCCCGATTCCTTGATAGGGCTTTGAGTCTTGGGGAGGCCAGAGTCTTGGGTAAGGGCTGGGCCCTTATGAGGACCAGGATCTTGATTAATTCTTGGGTACTTGTGGAAGTTAGGGTCTTGGGTGTGTTCTGGGCTCCTGTAAATTCCAGTGTCTTTGGTAAGACCACATCTCCTTTTGACCTCATTGGCTTGGGTAAGGCCTGGATTTTTATAAAGTTCAGAATCCTGAGTCAGGCCTGGATTCCTGTAGTCTCCTGAGTCTTGGGTGAGGCCTGAGCACTTATGGAGACCAGAAGTTTGGACAAAGCCTGGGCTTTTGTGGAGACCAGTTTCCTGGGAAAGGCCCAAGCTCTTGTTGACTCCAGAGTCTTGGGCAAGGCATGGATTCTTCTGTGGGCCAGAATCTTGGATAAGGCCTAGATTCCTAGAGATTCTCGGATCTTGGGCATTATGTATACTCCTATAACCTCCAGAATCTTGAGAAGGGTCTCGGCTGTTATGGAGGCCAGTTGTTTGGGAGAGATCTTGCCTTTCATAGAGTACAGTCTCTTGGCTTCGTTTTGGATTCATGTAGACTCCAGAGTCTAGCATAAAGCCCGAGCTCCTCTGAATGTCAGAAGTTTGGGGAAATGTTATGTTCTTATAGAGGTCAGAGGGTTGGATGAGACATGGGCTCCTAAAGATACCTGCATCTTGAGGAAGACCTAGGCTCTTTTGAGGGCCAGTATCTTTGGTAATGATTGGATCCTTGTGAAGGCTGGAGTCTTGGGAAGGTCCTGAATTCTTGCAGAGATAAGGGTGTTGGGTAAGGCCTGGAAGGTTGTATGAGCCTGGATCTTGAGCAAGGCCTGAGTTCTTGTGGAGGCCTGGATCTTGGGTGAGACCAGGGTTCTTGGAAACTCTAGAGTCTTTTGAAGGGCCTGGAGTCCTTTGGAGGCCAGACTCTTCATTAAGGCCTAGACTCTCATGAAGTTCAGGGGGATGAGATTGGACTGGGGATTGGGAAATAGCGGAGAACTGGGGAGGGATGAGGAACTGGGAGGAGGGTACGGACTGAGGAGACTTGGAGGTTGGAGGAAAGGTGGGGGTTTGCATTGAAGAAGAGGGCTTCTGGTGGTTGATGGGTTGATGAAGACCAAAGGATCGGGGAGAAACAAGAGGCAGAGAAAGAGTACATGGTGGAGGAGTGGTGCACAGTGAGCTCTGAACACTGGTTGGAGAATGAAAGCAAGGTTGAGAAGGTGAAGCATCCTTGGAGTAGACCAGGAATTTGGGATAAACTGGAACTTGGGAGTCTGCGTTTTTCCCCTCAGAACTGCAAGGATGGAAGCTGAAGTAAGGGAAGGTCTTGGACTGTAAGAACTTGTCTTTGGCATCATTTGAGATTTTCCATTCCATATTCTCCAACTCCAGGTAACCCAGTATGGATCCTGTGGAGAGCTTGCCAGAGTCCCCACTAAGTTGCTTTGATGTCTGCTCAGCTGTATCAGAGCTCACCAGGCCCTGCCCCTCTTGGGGCCCGGAGAGGGTACCCAAGTCCTTTCTGGAATACCCAGCATTCTGAGTGGGGCAAACATGGAATAAGTTCTGCTTTACCCTGCGGGCATCATAGACCACATGACCAGTGGAGGGGCCTTGGCTGAAGGCAGTCAGGGTAGAGGGAGCAGGAGTTAGGATGTGGGAAGGGGTGGGGGCAGGAATAGGAGAAGAAACTGGAGTGGTAGTCAGAGGCATGACCACTGCTGGGGCAGGGGTTGGGGCAGGGGTTGGGGCAGGGGTTGGAGCAGAGATTGGGACAGAGGCTTGTGTAGGGACTGGAGCAGGAGTAGTCACAGGGGCAGAAGTTAGGGGAGAGGCTGGTACAGAGGTTGGGGAAGGGACCAAGTTGTGGGCATGGGTATAAGTTAGAGGAGCATGGTCCAGGTTTCTGGCTGGGGTATGGACCATTATGTGCCCAAGTGTGTGGCCCAGGGAGTGGGCTAAGGCATGCGATGGGGTTTGGGCCAGCATGTGGGCTGAGGTGTGCTCAGGGCCATGGACCTGTGTGGGGGTGTGCTCAGGGGTGTGGACTGTGGAGTGGATCTGGGCCCGGGCAGGGGTGTGCTCAGGGGGTTGGGCTGGGGAGTCAGTCTGGGCCTGGGTGGGGGTGCGCTCAGGGGTTTGGGTTGGGGAGTCGGTCTGGCCTTGGGCGGGGGTGTGCTCAGGAGGGTGGGCTGGGGAGTCGGTCTGGGCTTGGGAGGCAGTGTGCTCAGTGGAGTGGGCTGGGGAGTGGGTCTGGGTCTGGGCTGGGGCATGGGCTGAGTCATAGTTTGGGGTCTTAGTCTTGTTCTCTTGGGGCAAGTGGAGTGGAACTGTATCCAACTTGCTCATCCTGGGGAACTGGGAAGATGTCTCTTGCCTGGAGATAAAGGTGGCTTGGGCCTCTGAGGCTGTAACCTGAGGTGCCTCCCCAGCTCCCATCATCCCTTCCTTCCACTGTCCCCATGGAGTCTCCACAGGAGCCCCAGTATGTCCACATTGAGGCGGCATCCAGCAGCACCTAGAAGCCTTCTCATCATTCGTGTCTGGTATCCATGAGGCAAGGTAGTTAGGGCGTCTGAGCAGGAAGCTTGGGCGATGATGGAAGTGGGAAGAGACTCTTGAGCACAGGTTCTTGGGATCCATGGAGCAGCGCATACACATGGGATGGCTGCCTATACAGCTGGGTTGCTTGTCTGGAGGGAAAAGTGGGATAAGACAAGGCCTGGGTTCCTGAGGGTACAGGGATGGAATGAAGGGGACAGGCCCACATCCCCTTGATCCCATGCTGAGGCCCACTCACCTTTGGGGAAAAAATGATGGAAAAGAATCCGCAAGGAGCTCTTCAGATGCCTCCAGAGCTGAGGGAAGCAGGGGAGAGGAGAGTCCAGAAGTAGGGTGAGCCCTAAAGTCCAACCTTCATCTGGCCACATCCCAGCAGCCCTCCCACCTCAGACCTCAAGGCTCCCCCAACCCTGCTGCCCAGACCCTGCCCTGACCAGAGTCACCACATTGATCCCCACGTTGAGCAAGATGAAGCTGCCCAGAATCAGAAGAATTGAGTCTCCTAGGTCCTGGCACTTCCTGGGGTTGGTACCAGAGCACACTGGGGCTCCGTGGTAGGCTCGCTCACCCATGGCCGGGGGTCCCAGGACTACCTGGGCCCCCTGGCCCCCATATACTCGCTAGGAGCCAAACTCCTCTGGTGGGGGAGGGGGAGAACTGGGTCATAATGGAACAGGGGGTAGGGGTCACAATGAGGGAGGGGGAGGAAAAGGGAGGCCCACGGTGGCATTTCCTGGTAACCAGGTTTGAGTAACTTGAGCCTGGACGGTCAGACAGCCTGGAAGCCAGTCCGCCTCCCCTCTCACCCTCATCAGTTCCCTCATTACCCACTAACTCTCACTTGTTCAAACATTCACGCATCCCATCCCTTTGCCCACTTCTGAGACTGGGAAGACCATGGCCTCAGAGCCCTGGGGAAGGCTTGGCTGGAATCCAGTGTCTTTGCCTTCTTCCTGCCCTTCACTAAGCTGTGGGCCTAGATCTGCCCAGATATGGAACTCCTAGGTCTGGAATGTAATCTTAGCTTCTTGTGTGGAACTAAGCCTCTGAGCCCCCTTTGGGGACAAGGAGAGCCTCACAGAGAGCAGGTGCCCAGAGACTAGTGGTTTGGAGTCGTTAGCTGAAAGATCTTAGTGCCTGTAGACAGGACTGTGGCCACTAAATCAAGGGAAGCCTCAAGCCAAGAGAACACTGGCTTCTCATTTTAGGAAGCTAAGGGCAGAGATCCATATTGGCAGAAGGAGTGACGCTTCCTAGCCACAGACCACTACAGTGTTTCCTGGACTCTTTATTCCTCTCTCCATGCCCTGCCTCACCACCCACATTAGCAAACTTTACTGCTGGTCAGCAAAGTTTCCCAGTTCGGCTTCTGTGCAGAGAGGGCCTTGAGGCTGAGCTGGAAGGTGGTGGCAGCGAGTTGGCCCGTGCTCTGCTCTCTTGCACCTGCCGCTTCAGCTCCAGGCTGTCGTACACCTGGTAGTTGGCATTGCCTCCCGGGCTCCGGCTGAGTGGCATGAAGGTGGGTGGGGGTGGGGAGGGCTCAGTAGCCTGGACTTCAGGCGGGGGCTGGGAGGAGTGGGGGAGCAAGGCTGAGCTGGGAGCCAGTGACCGTTGGTATGAAGCCTCGCCCAACACAGTGAGGGAGGTGGATGTGGTCAGAGGGTGCCGAGTGGGCAGTGCCTCAGCCCATTCTGCTGCCCGGCGCCGTACCTCATGGGGATCCCGGGGGGTATAGCTCAAGTGTCCTGTGGATGGGTGGGGACTGCGGTTGGGCTGGCTATTAGCATGGCTGGGGAGGCTCCGACGGTGGGACTGCGGGGAGTAGCGCTCCCGGGTCTCAGGCCGAGAACCCCGGGGCACCAGTGCAGATGGAGGCTCAGAGCCCTCCAGACCACGCCGCCGATCCCAGGAATCATACAGTAGCTGGCCCCCTGAGGGGTAAGGGCTGTGTCCTCCAGGGACCCAGGAGGGGTTAGGAGGTAGCCGACGGGGAGGTGGTGGAGATGAGGTCCACTGCTCAGTCTCCATATTGCCCCAGATGCGGGATTGTGAGCAGTGGGGCCCATAGGACTGCAGCCTCAGCTCTGACTTGGCCTCCACACGCTTGGGCATGCGGCGCAGCTCAGGTGACAGGTAGAGAGAGGGTGGTGGCAGGCTGGCCAGGATCCCACCCTGGCGGCCCCACAGCCCCATATTGGAGGGCAGCCCCATTTGCTGGTAGAGCCCTCCCCGGTACCCCCGTGGGTACTTGGGATGTGGGAAGGACAGATCATCCTCTTCCTTTAGGAAGGAGTCCAGGTCCTCCAGGTCAAAAGAGGGCATTGTCCGCAGTTGTGACATCTTGTGGCAGTGATGTGGACTATGGAAGACTGAGTGGTTGTTAGAGAATTGTTTGTGGTTCTTCGGACTCTTCTGGTGGCTGCAGGGGTGGCGGTGGTGGCGGTTACGGTGGCGGCGGCGGCTGCGGTTGTGAAGATGATGATAGGAGGAAGAATAGCAGCAAGTGGGCCGAGCCATCTTCACTTCTACAGGGTCCAGGGTGCAGTGGATGTGGACATCTTGGGCTTTGGCTGGGGCATCTTTTGGGGAACTTTCACAAGCTTGTGAGTTTTCTTCTGTGGGAGGCAAGAGTCCATGAGGGCAGGGCAATTGTCAGAAGAGTTCAGGGTTGGGCATGCTGGGTTTCGAGGGCTATGGTGGTAGCAGAGGGGATTGGGGCATCCCCTACAGCTCTAGCTACCATACTTACCTTTCTGATTAATCCAATTGATCATCTTGTCTAAAGCATTCTGGAGCCCATGCCACATCTGAGGGTGGAGTGGAGTGGGGTGGGAGTGAAGGCCAAGCTCTCTACCTCCAACCCCCATACCCCTCTCAGCCAAGACTGCTCTTGCAGGTGAAGGTACAGGCCACAACTGGCTCCCACCCTCAGCTCTCTTAACCCTTAGGGTCCACAGCCATCACTGACCACAGTTACCACATTGATTCCAATGTTGACAAGAATGATGAGGCCCAGCAGCAGAAGTAGGAAGTCCTCGGCATCCTGGGGACTTTCTTGGTATTGATTGCAGCACCCCAGGGTGTTATACCAGAGCTGGTTTTCCATGGTGGGGGGGTTCTAGGGCCACCTGGGCCACCACCCCCCCACCAGCCCCAACCCACACTGCACTCATGCCAGGACCTGGAAACACCTGCCAGCTGGTGAGGGAGACGGGTCATAATGAGGCATGTTGGCGGGAGTCACAATGCAGAGGTGGCAGCTCTTTTATTCATTTGGCTGGCACTTTATATGATATCTCTGCCCTTGGCCTAGTTCCCAGATATCCTAGAGTTCAGTCTGTCCCTTTGTCTCCATAGGAGCTTGCTTAACTGGACACCTGATTCCGATTTGAAAATATGGTAGCTACAATAGTGAGACAGTCTTCATAGGGATTGAATCATGCATAAGGATTTCTTCTATTTCATTGTTCTTTTGAGATATTATGGCAGCTTGTATAGCCTATTGGTACTCCCCACCCATACCTTCTTGGGGCTACCATCTAGGGTGACGGATGGATGGGTGACAGCAAGAGTCCCCTCTGAGTTCACCTTGCTGTACCATTCTCTCCCTGTCCTGTCCATTTCCCAGTCATAATACTTTTAGCATCCACCCTACCCACCCCTCTCTGGCCAGGGATTTCAGCCCAAGGTGGTGGTGGTCACTGAGCCCATTAGCCCCTTCACTTCAGAGCAAGACTGATTTCGACCATGCTGGGATTGCTGCCTCTGCCAGAGACCACTTGGTTTCTCTCCTTGACCAACTGCTCTCCCACTGAGCCACCTTTCCAAGTTGAAAAACTGTGAGCTGCCACCTTAAGAAAATTACATGAAATTCACAAAGCACAAAATAGATGTAATTGTTGATATGACAATAGGAGTCTTCAATTTAAACCAGGTTCATCACTAGGTTCTTGCAAAAGAGGTGCCTTGGGGACCACAAGTCATTTGTTTGCACAGTGAACAACTCAGCTTAGAAATAGAGGAACAGCCAGTGAGCATTTCTCATCAATACATAGTAGCTGCTCAGTACATACCCACTGAATGGCATCAGTTTCAATCAATCAACGATGTTGGTTGAATGAAAATGAATAGAGAAACATGGTGATTCACAGAAGGCCTGTCTGCTCACATTCCAAGTACCCATGTGGTATGAAGGTGAGGTCCATCTCCTTCAGCCTGGGTGCATGTACACACATGGCTCCTTGTTCCCTAGTTGTGTGATTGCATGCATGTGCATGACTTCAATTGTCTAGGAGTAGGTTAGGGCCTGAGTTTCCCTGCTCTCTAGTGGATGAAATATTCTGATGTGTTCACATAGCAAACTGAGAAAGGTGGTAAACTCTCATGGGCCAGGCTGATTCAGTGGCAATAGGAATCTACTTGTGGAAGCAAGAGGATGGAGCATCTGAGACTGTGAAATTGATCCCAGCCTGTGTCCATGTGACCATGAATAAGTCATTTGGCCTCTCTGAGCCTCAGTCTTCTCATCTGTGATGTGGAGGTATGAATCAGAAGAGTGAGGTCACAGAGTACTGTGATGTTGTGATGATGCAGCCCTTAAGAGTGACCCCAATATTTCATCCTCTGCTTCAAGCTTGCTCAAGGGTACAAGAAATTCAAGTTCTGATTGGGGAACTGTGAGAGCTTGCCTATCTTCACCTTCAGCAGTCCCTAACTCAAATAAACCAGGGATTAAGAAGGAACCACACTGTACCTGTAGCTGTAGCCTAAACCTAGGCTCTGGCAGGAACCAGAACTTTGAGGGGCTAGGTCCATGGGTTTGAAGGTCTCCCCTCTAGTGCAGGACTCTCTGGAGATGTGGGGTGGGATTAGGGGGCCTTCTCTGGGCACTAAGAAAGCAGGGTAGAGACAAATGGGAACTTTGGAATCAAGAAGGACCTGGAAAAGGGCTGAGGACGGGGTTGATGGTGAGGTTGAGACCAAGAGGTTGATGAAGTTCCTCAGGATTCTTTAGGCCCTGTTGTTAGATAATTCCCTTAGCAAACACGGCTTCTGGGTACTATATGGGCCCTGGCACCCCCCATACCACCACAAACCACTTCTTCTTTTTTTTTTTATTTTTTATTCTCCCAGTCACCTCTCTGTCAGGGGACCATATACCCAGTCCTTGCCCATCCCCTCAGCAGTGCTAGATCCGGAGGCCAAAGGGTAACAGTGGGACAGGGCCTCTACCTCCCGGGTCAGCTCCCGAAGCCGCCGCCTCACATCACGGGCATCATACATTATGCGGCCTGAGGAGCGGTGCCGGCGGATATCTGGGACTATTGCTGGGCCCTGAATAGGTAGTGGGGCTGGTGGAGCTGGCGTGGCCAGCGAGCACTGCTCCTGCTTCCCCTCAGCCCCTGCCACTCCCTTTCCACTGTTCTTGTGGCTCAGGACCTGTGGACCTGGGGGTGGGGGGTTTACAGGGTACACATAGGCCTCTAGGCCCAGCTCTGACAGCATCTCTCTTTTGAGGGGCCTTCCCTCTGTTGTCTGCTGGAAGCGGATGGTCTGGGGAGGCGGCTCCACAGCATCCTGGGCCCAAGCAGCCCAGAACCCCTGGGTGGATTGGAAGCCTTCCCAGTCTGCAGGGCAATCCCAGTTGTGGGAGCAGGTTTCCGGGTACCGATATGGGGGCTTCTCGTCGTCAGTGTCAGGGGCCCAAGCAACTGGGCGGTGGGCACGGCGTGCTGATGAACCTCGACGGCGATGGCGGCGAGTGGGTGGGGGGGTCACGGTCATTTTCACAGGGTCCATAGTGCATCGAAGGTGGACTGCAGGGGAGCTCTGCTTTAGGGGTTGGGTCTTCTTCCCAGGTGAGGGTGACTTAGAAGCTTCTGTGGATCAAGAGAGGTGAGAGGCTGGGGTAGGGAGACTGGCTCCTGTGGGGTAGAGAGGTGGGCTATATACAGATGCTATAACTGCAGAGTTATAGCATCTGAGAGGGGAGAGCTGGGGAAATGGGGCCAACTTAGGGTCAGGGCTAGAATGCCTGGTATCTGCCCCTCCTATTCCCCAACCCCAGGCCCCACTTACCTTTCTCACAAACAATATAGCAGAACATGTGGTGTAAGAAGCCACGGAGTCTATGCCAGAGCTGGAGGGGAGGACACAGTGACTCCAGGCAAGCCCTGGCCACCAGGCCTGCCTCCCGGCCATCCTGCCAGCACCCTCCCACCCGGCCCCGCCCTGACCAGCGTCACCATATTGATGCCAATGTTAATGCAGATGATGAGGCCCAGCAGCAACAGGATGGAGTTGCCCAGATCCTGGCAATTGTTGGCGTTGGGGCTGTGATATGAGGCCCACCCGGGCCGTGGCCGCTCAATCATGGCCATGGGGGTCCCTAGGGCCACCGGGGCCCTTAGGCCCCCAGCCCACTGTGCCACAGTACCTACCAAGCCGCCTGCCTGTCCCAGAGGCTCCTGGGGGTAAGCGGGTCACAATGATGCTGGGGCTCTCCCTCACAATGTGCCAAGAGGTAGAGTCTTGGGCCCAGACCTTGGCAGTGGCCAGCCAAGCCCTTTACCTTGCATGCTTCTCCTGCAGCCAGCCACCTGGACCAGCTCCCTAGGCCCTCTGGCCTGTCTGGTGTCTGTATCCATCAGCCCCTTTGGTCCTTCACTACACCAGGCTTCATCCTCTTTAGACGTGGGTCCTGATCTTAACTTTCCAAACAGCCCCATTACCATGGCAACCTTACCCAGCACCCACTCCCACTTCTTCTCAGATCTCTGAAAAGGGATTTGAGTGAAGACCCCCTCTTCCTCCCTCATCAGTATACTCATTTCCCCAAGGCTTATTTTTTCGGAGCCCCGTGTCCCCACCTCCTAACATCACAGCAGGCAAAACTAACAGTTAAACTTTTGTATTTACAATATTTTCTTCATCTTTTGCCAGGTTTAAAAATGTGTACAGAGCCTCAAAGGGTGGGGACATGGGATTGTCAGGGAATTGTTCTAGGGAGAGGAGCTGGGCATTGGAGTCCGTGGCTGAATCATGGGGTCCCCCAGCCCCTCTCCCATGCCCCAATTTGGGGGGCATCTGTCTATAGGATTCAGGGCCCAGGTCCCTAGCATTTAGAGGGCATGGCTATTTGGAGAGGAACCAGACTAGGCAAAAGGGGTAGGAAAGAATGATGTTTCCATGGGTGAAGGTGGGAGAAGGGACAGTCAAGTTCTGGGGAGCCAAGACCAGGGATTCTGGATCTGGGTGTCAGTGGAAGACAGCACCCCAGCCCCTACTCAAGTTTGGCACTAACAACCCACAAAATGACAGCAGATGAGGATTCTCTCCTTCTCCACTAGTGTCCCTTTCTTCCTGACATGATTCTTTTTCCCGTAGACTCAAATCCTTTCTCAAGTGCCCTCTGGGAAGTCACCTTACATATGTCTTTTCAAATACTTCCTGCTGGTGTTTACCCAAGCCCAGTTCTCCACTGCCCCCTCCATTTGTTCCTCAGCACAGCTGATCTCATTCTCTCCCCAAACTGTCCCCTGAAGCCTTTCTTCCCTGCTTTCCTCCTCTCCACCACTTCGTTCTTTAAGCTTTGACAGCTGAGAAAAGAGGAGGCATGTCAAAGGGAGTGGTCAGCTAAGGGTAGAAGCTGGTCTAACACAGACATTGGGTGGCTTCAAAGAGGGAGATAGAAATGGGGGAAAGGAAAACTGAGACAGAGAGGGAGGAATGAGAGATGGTGAAGATAAACTCATGTGGGACCCCTTTAGCTGCCACCTCCCCCTCCCCCATATCCCATCTGCCTCCACGTTTACCTGCTCTGGCTCAGGACTGGGGAATCCTTGGCACATTTTGGGGTTTCTTTCCCCCAAAACTCAGCTACCCAGTTTGGCACGAATGAGCAATGGTCTGAGGACTGAGGGAAAGGCTATCCTCAGACCCCAGTGAGGGCTTTGGTCAAACATGCATGGCCTCTAGTATGTGGCAGATCCCATGCCCCAGACCCCCAACCCATCATTTCTGGGGAAAGGAGATGCAGAGCTCTCCCTTCAGGGTTTATACATCCCCCTCAGCTTCTGTCAATTTGAAGTCTGTTTCCACCTGTTGTGTCAGGAGGCATTAAGTGCTGGGGGATGCAGGGAAATGCTGGAAAGAAAGGGACCATCTGCATGGGAAAACACACATCCACATGCAAGAACATGTTTCCACTCGGAGAAATGTGCCCTGGACCCATGGGAAAACAAGTTCCCAAACAGCACAGGGATGCATGGATCTCCCAACCCCCTGGCATGGATTCTGTGTCTGTCATCTGTAGAAGGTGAGGCTTACCCAGCAAAACGCGCTTCACCTGACTTGTGCCACGGGGGCTTAACATGCTCTGCCGGGGTAGATGGGGGGTGGGGCAGGGAATGGGTGGCTATGATTTCCTCAATACATTCCAGGTACCACTCTTGCTTTTCTGGTGGCCAAGGGTCACTATATGTGACTATATGTGAACACACCACTTCCAGGGTCTCCATGGGGTAGGGGGAAGGGAATAGATGGGAGAAGGCATGAGGGAACATGATTCTGAGGTTTAAATTCCCACAGAAATTCTTTGAGGGGGCCAACATGTGTCCAGGGTGGCAAAAAAAACCTTACCCTGCACATGGGAAAACACACCCCCTAGTGAGAAAGTACACCTTCGCGTGGGAAAATTCTTCCACGCTTCCACACATCGAAGACTGGTGTCCCAATAGAGGAGACAAATGCCCCCCCAGTTGTTCAAAAGCCCAGGTCCAGAGAAGAGAATGGGCCTCTCTGCATGGGAGAAACACGCATCCCTGTGAGGAAACCCATTTCCACCTAATGCTTCTCGACATGTGAAAACTCCACAAGAGAAAAGCCTGTTGCCAAGTCCTCTTCCTTGCCTTCCAAGTGGCACTTCCTGCGAGCGGGAGGGCTGGGAAGGAGGGCCCCCCCAAGCTGCCCCCTATACCCGGGTAGTGGAGTGGGGGTGGGGTAGTGTGTTGTTGTGGCTGGTAGCGGTGGGAGGAGGGGCAGGGAAGGGCCCAAAGGGATGGAGGGAAGGTGGCGGCGGGGGAGGTGGTGGCCCCAAGCCGCTGGGTAGCAGGGTCAGGGCCCCAGGGGCCAACAGAGGCACATCGTCTGGTGCCCGGCGCAGGGCCAGGGTGTAGTCGGGTGGGCAGGCGGGGCGCAAAGCCTCAGCAGGGTCCGCCCCAACACCACCACCCCGCTTTAGCTGAAGTGACACCAGCTCTTCTTCTGGTGGTAGCTCTCGGCCAGTGGCGGGGAGCAAGGGGCCCCCACCAGGCACACCAGAGCCTGAGCCACCTGGAGGGCTGAGCCGTCTGCACCGCAGCTCCTGCCGCCGGTCCCGCTTGTAGTAGAGGGCAGCAAAGGCGAGAATGTTGAGGAAGAGGAGGGAGGCGCCCACAGCCACAGTGACGCTCAGCTCTGTGGAGTAGTCCCGGGAGTCCCCGGGGAAGCGGTCATAGGCCCTGGGGCCTGGCTCGGGCTCAGGTTCCGGTGGCAGGGTGGCAGGTGGTGGGGGCCGGCGTGTGCCTGGGGCACCAGGGGGTGGGCGAGGTGGCCAGCGCGTGGCATAGGGAGGCAGGCGTGTGGTGGTGGTGAAGAGCTCTGTGTGCAAGTTGTGCAGGTGGGGCACAAGCTCCAGCCAGAAAGCCACCTTGTTGGCGCGGTAGTTGTCACGCACACGTGGCTTCAACCCAATGTGCAGGTACTGCTTCTCCTTGCTGTTGAACTTGCTCCATACCACTTCCTCGAAGCGGTTTGGCTTGGTGTGGATGAACTTGGTGTCCTGTGGCACTGGCTGGTTGGGGTCGCTGTGGGCACAGGAGGGCAGGGAAAGGAGCAGTGAGGGTGAGGCTCCAACAGATGTGGAAGGGTGGGAGAGGAATGGGGAGGGGACAGACAGAGATGCTGAGAGCCATGGAGACAAGAATGAAAGTCAGAAAAAAAGAGGCAGAGAGACAGAGATGAACACAAAGAGAGAAACTACCAGAGACAGGGACAAAGACACAAACAGAGATAGAGACAGACTGCCAGAGACAGCTAGAGATGACAGAGGGACAGATTGGCAGAGACAACAAAGAGATAGCTAGTGAGAGAGGCAGAGGCTGAGACTGAGTGAAATAGAGACATATAGAAAGAGAGACAAAGACACGTGAGAGGCAGCCAAGGTGAAATCAGCAAGCAAAAAGCAAACCGATCAAAGAATGCAAAGGGAAAAGGAAAGATATTAATGGATTTTAAGAGAGACTTAGTGACAGCAATAAAGAGACAAACAGACACAAATCCTTACACACACTCAGACACAGATGGAAGCAGTCAGAGGGCAGAGCACAGGGGGAAGAAAGAAAGAGGGTAGGTAGGCAAGGGAGGGAAGGAGAGACAGATATGGAGCCAAAGCCACCTAGTGAGTCCACCCCCAAAAAGGACAGGGACCTCTCTGTAACTCTGCTGAATCTCCAACACGCAACTCAGTGTCTGGCACAGAGAAGGTATTCAGCAGGTGTCTGAGTCGAGAAGGCAAGAGTAAGAGTGCATTAATGGAGGGATGATGGCCTTGTGAGAGAGTGAGAAAAAGAAGGAGCTGAGGATGGAGGGTGTGTGTGCCTTGGCTTTCAGGATGGCCCACCCAGCCCCTCTGGCCCTCACCCAGTCTTGGCGAAGTTGGTCCAGTAGGTCATGACCACGGCGCTGAGCATGACATCATTCTTAGAGAAGTTGCAGGGGAAGAGATCAGTGGCACCCACCATGGGCACACCGAAGACATAGGGGAGCTCATCCCCATGTGCTGCATCTGCCCACTCGGGCCGGCCCTCAGCCTGGCAGTGGTGATAGAAGGTGTAAAAGTAGACAGGAGACTGGTAGTCAGCATGCAGCTTGGCGGTGGCCACGGCTGGTGCCACCCACTGGTGGTCAGTAAAGAGCGCCAGCAGGGTCTTGCGTCGCATCTCACCATTGTCCCGGTCAGCCCAATCTGTGTACATAAACTTGATGGTCTCCCGCAGCACATCTTTGCCCTCCGGGTAGCCATACAGGTTGTCCACAAAGTTGGAGACTGTGAAGTCAAAGGCGCTGGCGGATACACCGTCCTCACTCTCTGCTGAGTCCTCCACAAACTTGAGGCCCTCTCCTTGGTTGACACCGATGAGCATGTCATAGTTGAGGAATTCTCCCTGCTGCATGAGGATCTCAGGATCATCCGGGACGACGTCACCATCCACCACGGGCCCAAAGGCGATGTGGTAGCTGGGGAGAAGGTGGCAAGGTCTCATCACCTGTTCACTGGCCTCCTCTCGGCTCATAGCCTAGTGAGCCCTCCGCCCCAAAGACCTTTCTTCCACAGATTAGAGTTAAAATCTCATCTATGAGTCCTTCAGGGCACTTGGCCTGTTGGGAAGTCTTCCCTGAAGCATTTCCTGGCACCTTGTGCGTACTTGCTCTATTTGGGCACCCCCACTTAGGGAAGGCTTCCAAGAGAAGAAGGCAGGGCCTCTAGAGAGCCCTGAAGCCCACCTCTCCTTTCCAAATAAAATGCTTGTGGGCACCTCTCCCCCTCAACATCCTTGGAACCAGCAAGGAGAGTGAAGTCCTGGACCCAGCCCTCTCCCACCACTATACCCATACCGGGCGGGCTGTACATCCTGGTCCACCAGCTCCCGGGAAGGCTTTCGGCGGAGACACTCCACAGCTTCAGCACTATCCTCCCGGTCACAGCCCACCTTAGCTGCCAGCAGTCGTGTGTACTTGAGCGGCTGGTAGTTGACAGACCAGCTGGAAATGGCAGTGCCACTCTGGGCAATGGCCTTCTGGAATAGCCCTGGTGGGACAGGCAGGTTTCAGGCTGGGCACTATCAGCCCGAGAGAAGGAAAACCTGGTAGGTTCAGGGGTATGAGAAAGGACAGGCAGGCTGAAGAGATTGCTCGTACCTTCTGAATGGTGGGAGAGGATCAGAAGGTTGACACAGGAGGCCCCTGCCCCAGACCCAAAGATGGTGATACGCTCGGGGTCACCCCCAAAGTGGGCAATGTTTTCACTGAGCCAGCGCAGGGCCTGGATCTGGTCCAGGAGTCCATAGTTGCCTTTTGCAGCCTGGTCTCCGGTGCTGAGAAAACCTGGAGGTAGAGGAAGAAAGGGAGGCTTTCTGGGGGTGTTACAGCATCTTGTCCCTTATCTGGGCAGCTCAGTCCAGCCCAGAAGCCATTCTGCTGCTGCTGAGCTTAAAGGAACCCCTCCCATCACACCCCGCTCCCAGACTCCAGCCCCTAGAGTTGGCTGCCCACCCTCACCGAGCACCCCAAGACGATAGTTGAGCGTGGCTACAATGACGTTGCCATAGGCGGCCAGGACGGAGCCATCGAACATGTTCCCAGTGCCCTCCATGTAGGAGCCGCCGTGCAGAAACAGCATCACCGGCTTCTTCCCAGAATCCCGGATATCTGTGTGGGGAGGGGATGGGTGGGTGGGCCAGGGAGCAGGGAACAAGGACATAGTGAGACCAGAAGCAGCACTGCCTAGCTCCCAGGCCTGCTGAAGACCAGCCCAGAGCTCAGGGGACATGTCACTCCTGTCCCTGGGGGGCAAGACCGGATTCCCCTCCTCCCTCCCCAGCTAGCCCTGGCAGAAGGTCCCTCCCCACCTCCTGCCAGTCTGCCCCACAGCACTTCTCTAAATGCCAGGCAGAGCTTCCAAGAAGCCAAACAGAGACAGGGGTGGGAGGTGGCCCTCCTCAGGGCATCTGCTGGATCCAGGGACCCCCTCCCCGCCACGCACAGTAAATCTCCTTCCTGCTCCTAGGAAGAGTGAGCTCCCAAGGCTGGCACTAAGAGCTAAAGATGCTGGGAGGGTCCTGGACTTTCCTCAGACTTAGGCCTTGGGCCTCAGCTCCACATGGTAGCCTGGTCTGTGGCTGAGGGGGTGCCAGGCCCTAGGGTCCCTAGGGGCTTGGTCTCCTCCCCGCCCTAATTCCTTTCTAGGTCACCTCCCTAGTCACCATGGCAACCCCCAGACTAATTATTGTGGCAGAAGGAGGCAGGGTAGGAAAGATTCTGTTTAATGAAGACAGGGTGCAGCTCTCTAGTCTTGGACCCCACCAAACTGACCTGAGCCCTGGGTTCTGCACCAGATCCCTCTCTTGCCATGTCCAAAAGAATTCCATAATCACTGCCACATGGCACTCCAGACTGGACTGAAGGGTGACTAACTCCAGAAAAGGGTGGGAGTCTCAGAGGGCTTGTCATAGTCCCCAAGGCTATAGCAAGTACCCTGAAGCCCCTCCATGATTCACCATAGCACCAGGGTTGGGGTCACCTCTGGCCTACAGGCCTTCCTCTTTCTTGACACCTGCAATCTCTGACCAGCCTGGGCACTCAGCAAACAAGAACCAGGCCTAGGCCTCCACAGCTGGTCTCTATACCTCTGCCTGCCTCCCTCAACCTGGCAGAAACTTTCTTCCAGCCAGGTCAACCAATAGGTCACTAAGACACTCCCTACCACCCCCCACAGGCAGCTTCCTGTCTCTTGTGTCTTAGGATCTTCTCTGCCACCTTCTGTTCCCCTCTCAGTTCCCCTTCTGTGAACTCCCCAAATCCTGTTCTTCCCTTTGTTCCTGAACCTCCAGTGGCCTTCCAGCAGTTCGGGCTGAAGTATCCTTCCCTCCAAGGTCCTGTCCTAAAGGTCCTCAGTTACCTCCTCTTCCCCACCCAACACCTCCACTCCCATTATAGGGGGAGGGGAGTCAGAAAGGGAAAGAACAGGAAGGGTGGCTGGGGCAAGAATTCAAAACCAACAACAAAAAACAGGATCAAGAAAGAAGAAAGAAAAAAACAACAACCAAAAAGCAAGAAGCTCTCGGGGCTGATTCAACAAGAAAAGAAAAAAAAAAAAAAAGAAAAAGATCCATTTTTGGAAAAAAAGAAAAAAAGAAAAAAGTTCTTTGCATTTTTTTTTTTCAAAATTTTGTGGTGAAACTTCAAGATATTGGGCCCTGTTTTCAAAAATTTCCAAATTCTTTAATTTGCTTCAAATGTTTGCATTTTCTACATCTGACAGGCTTTTGGAAATTGTAACAGGTTTCTAATGTTTCGGTTGTGTCAATTTGCCAACTTAATTTTTTTCGAATTTGTTTTGTTCCAAATTAAAATTGTTTTTTCAAATGTTACACTTCACAAGGTTCAAAACAGTCCAAATTTCTGTCAAACTCTAAACATTTTATCCAATTCTTTAGTGTTTTTTTTCCTGGCATTCCAATTTTTTTTTTTCACGTTATTTTTGCCATATTTAGCTTTTCTTACAGGTTTTCTAGTGGTTCCAACATTGTTCAAATTTCTTTCGAAGCTTTCATAATTCTTTTTTCCAATTATTACAAATTTTTCTTTTCTTTTCTTTTTCGTTTTTAGTTGGGAGAACAACTGAGGGCCTTGAGGGCTGTGGGGGCATTTAGTTAGGGACAGGGCCGTGAACATGAATGTCCTCTTATCAGCAACCACATGCAGCAGCGGGATTTTTAAATCTACCTGTGTCTGGCGGATTGAGCGTCGCCTCGTCACGTTTTTTTGTGAGCGGACCTAAGACCGGGAACACAAAACAGAGAAAAAAGGACAATTTTGTGGGGAAAGATGGGGGTCAGGGGAGGTGGTGGATGGGGAGGGGAGGAGAGAAAGCAGAAAAGGGGAGGGTGGGGGGCAGAAAAAATAAGCCAAAAAAAGCAAAATTTGTTTGCAAGAAAAAGAAACCAAGAAAAGAGAAAAACGTTTCTACAACCCAATTTTGTTCCCCTCCCCGGAAAAAGTCATGCCCCAAAGAAAAGGCTGGTTTTGGGGGGTGGGGTGCCTGAGTGGGCTGAGGCCTGTCTTAAGACATATTGACTTGGCTGGAAAGGATTTGGCTTGTCGATGTGTTGGCTAATGGCTGGAAATGAAACAGTGTTAGAGGTGGGGTGGGAGGGGAGGGGAAGCTCTCCAGGGAGCCCAGGAAATCAAGGCCAGCTGTGCCACTGTGGGCCACCACTCAAGTAGGCCCTCTTTAGGGCCAGCCAAGCACCTCCCTGTTTCCCCAAGCTGTAGAGAAGAGGAACTGCAGCAGAAAGGACTCTGCTTCCCTCTGGACCCATCTAGAGGGCAGAGAGTAGGATGGCCTTGGGGGCAGCCTGCCCCTGACGTTCGCAGCCCCTGGAAGCCCTTAGCTCCCCACTGGAGGGTTGCGGGTAGGTCAGCTAAGGCTGCCTGCCCACATACCCAGCCTCTTAGCGTCAGCATTTCTCTTCCAACCGCACTCACAGGCCTGGCTTCTCACCCCATCTCCCCAATGTGGGGCGAAGCAGGGAAAGGGGTCATCAGGTCTTGCCCTCCACTCCACCTCTTCCCTCTGCACCCCACCCCCCCCAACCTCATCCCTTACCCAGGCCTGCTCTCCTCCCTCCAAATGGTAAATTTCCCACCAGGGGAACCAGCCCCTAGCCAACCCCTGCTCTAATGCCAAAAAGCCCCCCTCCCAAATTGGGGGTTCAGTCCACAAATAAGGAATAGGAAACATAGTGCCCTGAGCCCGCCTGACACATAAGGTGACAGGAGGTGCTGGGAGGCAAAAAGTGTGCCCACTGTCAAGGAAAGTTCTCAGACCGGGCCTAGAGTTTGGCTTCAGGTTTCTTTCAGATTGAGAGATTGATCAGGGAGAGCTGAAACCCAGAGACCTGTGGGGGTCCCTGGCTGACTGGTTTCTCCTCAATAGCAGGGGGAAGGATGGGTCAGTAAGCCCCAATCCAGCCTCTGAAAGGCTTCTCCCACTGGCAATGATGGCCCCATGGGGACTGATTAGGATCAGGGCCTGTTTGTCTCTGTGACAGGATTGGGATGGGGATGAAGTCAGCAGGGCATTAGTGCTCATGAGAATATTAAGTGTATGTGTGCCTGAGTCAACCTTTTCTTTCCAGAGCTGGTGTGAAGATTCAGTGAGATCACCTGAATGTGTCAGGCCTCAAGCAGGTCTGCAATAAGCAATAGTTAAAAATACAGAAGGTGTGGGCATGGGTGGTGTGGGGGCAGGGTGGACAATTTGTGTGGAGGCGTTGGGGTAGACAGTCCATTGGTGGGAAGCGCTGGGTGGATGTTTCACATAGGGGGTGATGAAATAGATGGGGAGATTGGGTTGGACAGCCTACGTGAAGATGTGGGAGTGGAATTTTGAGATAAACAGTCTATGTGGAGGCACTGGAGTGAGGAATTCACAGGAGGGAGCCTGCTGGGTGTGGTAAGTGGTTCATGAGAAGGCAGGGGAATGTGGAGTGGATAGTGCTCATGCAGAGGGTATTGGGATATATGGTCTATTAGGGTGCTTGGAATCTGGATGGGATTAGAGTGAATGATATTTCTGTGCACTGTGTGTATGGGTTACTATAAGGCATGGTTTATATGGAGAGGGGTAGTTAGGATATTAGGTTATATAGTTGGTATGAGCAATGTAGGGTGGATGGTCCATATGGAAGGTGTTGGGAAGGATGTGGGTAGGCTGAGGTGCATGAGGTGTTCTGTGATTGACATGAGAACTTTGGGTACAGGGACTGTGGTATGAGTGGCCTGGCGGAGCACATGGTCCAGGGTGCAGGGTTATTGGGGTAAAGGTCTATCGATGTATGGGTGCTACTAGGGCACATGATCTATAACCAGAGATACTGGGAGCCACAGGTATGGGTGATAGGATATACAATTTTACAGAAGTATTGGGGTGTGTGCTGTGAGAAGGTATTGGGAATTGTGATACATATGGGATGTTGGAGAGCATACACGGTCAGTGTGTAGGTTGGTTGGGTACATGACCTGAATTGAATGTTGAATAGTTGATATTCTTTATCTGTTGCGGGACTTGTGTACATCATGTGAAGGTGTTGGGTGTGTAGGGGTTCCTGGGTACCAGGACTGTGTGTTAAGTTGTTGGAAAATGGCCTGTGAGGGGTATGGTAGGAGTGGATGGTCTCTGTGGAGGTGTTGGGGTGTCTTGGAATAGTGACATGGAGTATTAAAAGGGTAATGTGGGGGCTGTGAGGATGGTCTATTGGGGTGGCTGGTATTCTGCTGATTACCCCTGTTGTAAACAGCTAGAAGGTACTCTGAAACATATTCTGATTAATCTCAGTGTGCTGAAGGTTGACAGGTGGAGAACTGTCCAGGGGGAGTGAGCTGAGGGCTATGAGCAGAGTGGTAGTGAACTGAGAGTTCACTGACAAGACAGCCAGTTGGAGAGCTTCAGGGAAGGTGTTCTGATGGGGATGAGTGGGCTGTGCTGTGAGTGGAGGAGCCCCTGGCAAGGAGTTTCCCTGATCCTTCAGGGTTGTATAGCAGTCTGGGTACACAGCATCCTGGAGAAGAGGCACTCAGCTCAGGTAAGGGGCTCTGGATGTGATGTGATAGATGGAAGTCTGCAGTGCTGGCCTGGAGGAAAGGAAGAGTCTGTGCTGTCCTTCAGGTATAAATGTTGCTAAATTCTGCCAGGGACAAGCCCAGGGGTGGGGATGGGAGGTGGGGCAGAGCTGGAGTGGGTCCTAGGCAGGTGATAGATACCTACCTCCATCACCTAATCACCCTCAGTGGCCACTCTGTGTGTGCCTCTGTGGGAACCAGGTTGGTAAGTCCAACCTAGAGCCTGCTGACCTTACCAATGGCTCTCTGTGGGCACGAAGAACTTCTGGGGTGGCTGTTTCTGGGATTTGTTCCTGAGTCTCCCCGAACCACCCTGGGAGGGCACTCAGAGCCAGCAGGGACATACCGTCCACTTGCTGTCCGCACAAAGCCCAGCTCCCAGGTGGGCTGTGCCAGTGCCTGAGGATCTGTATGTGCGTTTGTGGGTTGTGTCCACGGGGTGCCCAGCCTGGTGCCCGCACCCTTACCGTCCTCGGTGGGCACGTAGAGATTGAGGTACAGGCAGTCCTCGCTCTGGTTCTGCACATAGGTGGCGGCTGCCTCCAAGTTGTCGGTGAACCACACAGGAAGCATGATGGCGGGCAGCGCCCCATGCAGGTTCTGTGGGCAGGCGGGCGGCAGGGTGGTGGCGTTGCGTACGCCGGGCCAAGAGGCAGGGGCCTCAGGCGGCTGGAAGCGGCGGGCACCCAGGGGTGGCGTGGCGTAGGGCACGCCCAAGAACTGCACGACGGGACCCAGGATCTCGTTGTTGAGCTCGCGCCGCACACCGCGCACTCTCCCGTAGGCCGTGTTCACCACTGGAAAGCGGTCCTCCCCGAGGCTGCCTAGGCCCAGGCCTGGGCTGCCTGGGGCACTGCCGCCGCCTTTTTTTTTATACAGCACCAGGAGCCACATGCTGATGGGGGGACCCCCCCTCCCTCCCCGGGACCCCCCCCTCGGAGAGAGAGAGAAGGGGGGGAGAGGGAGGGAGGCCCCCCTCGCCCCAGGAGGGAGGAGGGGGCAGGGAAAGAAGGGAGGAGGGGGGTGGGGAGGGACCTGGGTTAGACTGGACAGAGAAGGGGTCTGTTCCTCTCCATTGGGGGAGGGAAGGGATGGGGAAGGGGAAGGAGGTGGGAGAAAGTGAACTCAGGCTGGACCTGCAGGGGAGAAGGACGGTATGTAAGATACATAAGGAGAGAGAAACAAACAGAGGGTAGGTGGAAGAAGGGAAGGGAAATTGGACGGGGCAGACAAAAAGGAATGGGGAAACAGAAGAGACAAGTGGTTAGTGACTTGGAATTCAAACCAGTTGACCCCCTCCTTCCACCCTCAGGCACCCTGGCACCTCCTCCCACCTCAGCAACCCCCTCTATCAGCAGGGACCCAGACAGAAAAGTCTGAGGCTGGGGGTGGTAAAAGTTCAGGATATAGCCAGAGGGGAAGAAGAATCAGCTCCCCAGACCCAACCGGCCACTCTTCCAGCTGCTTTTTCCCTCCCAGACAGGTTCTCCTCAGGGACTCAGGAGTCCCAGTTCCCACCTCCCTGGGAGGGATGAGCTAGACAAGGAAGAGAAAATAAAAATACCAAGTCATTAATTAGCAGGAAGTGGCGGGTTTGTTTATACGTGTTAATTACTCCTGAGCTGTAATTTCATCGCACTGAACCCCCAAACCAGACTAGACTCGGGCCTTTCTTGGGACTGCACAAGCCCAGCACCGGCTCCTTTCAACAACCCATTCTCTAAGGATTTGTGCAGCAGCCAGACCCCTTTTCCCCTGGTCCTCTCCATTTCTTTCCTCAGAAGTTAAGGTGCCTTGAGGCAGGGGCTAGAGTAGGGAGGGGATGCTGGGGGGCAAATCCGGGGACAGATGCGTGATCCTGCGTCCGGTTGCTGGGCGACGGGATGCTGCCCCGCAATGTTACCTCGGCAACGGGCTGCAGCTTTAAGGGGGGGAGGGGAAGGGTCTGGCTTGGTTATGGGGTCCATTCAGGGCATAAGAGCAATGGCATGAGTCGGAATGCTAGAGTTTCTCCCAACCTTAGCATAGAGGAAGAAGTATATATGTTAAGGGGAACGGGAGATTGGGGGCAAAGAGAACCCAAAGAGACCCGCCTCTTGCCCCTTATTGGCCAATCAGAGCCCAGTCCTACTGACCAGGCCTCTGGCTGAGGAGAAGGGGTGCTGAGGTGGGTTTGGAGGGCATCAGATGCACCCACTCACTGCCCCCCTGCCAGTCTTGAACAGCCTTGGACCCCAGGCATCTCTTCTTCCATGCTCGGCATTTTGACCCATGTCCTGGGGGCTACTTCAGCTTTCTTCTCATCCCATCCTAGCTATTCACCTCCCATTCCACTTAACCAGCCCCCCATAGTTGCTGTTCTGATGCCTGGGTGCTTGGGGCAGCAGGAGCAGGACGAGGGAAGAAATCAGACTGAAGGGGCAGACACTCAAGTCATTTCAGCAAGCCCCCCCGCCCCTCCAGCCACCAGAGCTCTTTGCTGACTCGGGGTTTTCAGAGCCAGGCGCCAGCCCGCGGGTGGCTCTCTGCAGGTGTCAATTTATTCCAGAGATGAGGACACAGGAATCCTTACCACACACACTCAGTCATGCCCTCCCCCTCTTCAGGTCTTCTTAAGCTCCTATTCCTCCATCACCTGGAGGGGGCTTGGGACTGGCTCCCTCAAGATCTCTGCCCGTGCCAGGCTGGGCTCTGCTTCCATAGTCTTACACCCCTCCCCCTTCCACTATCACAGTCTGTCTGCCTCTGTCACCCCTGTCCTTCTCTCTCGCAGTTTTTCTTCTTCTTTCTCTCCTACTGGAGCTCCCCTACCCCATCTCTCTCCTCTTCATAGCTCTCCCTCAGAGCATTTTTCCCAGCCTCTTCCAGCCAGCATCAGCTCTTGCTTTCAGTCTCTCGCCTTCAAGTCTTTTTCATCTCTCTCTTCTATATCTCCCTCCTTGGTATTTCTCATCTTTCTGTCTTCTTCAAATCCCTTCCCCAAATTTCTCCCTCAAGCCTCCTCTACTTCTCTCTCCCTCTCTCCTCTCTTCCTATCTCTGTCTCCCCCATTTTCTCTCCCCTGTTCTCTCCATCTCTGTCTGCTACATCTTGCTCCCCCCTCCTCCTCATCCTCTGCCTTGCTCTCTCCATTCCTGCCCAGGCATGGCTCCCCCAGCCTGGGAGAATTGAGGGACAGGGGCTCAGGCCGCAGGCCCCCCCTTCTTCCTGCAGTGGGGAAAATGGCTTGGCCGGGAAGGGGAGAAAGAGGGGGAGGGGAAGATGGGAACACACGGGGTCTGTGGGCCCATTCAAAGGATCATTCATGGGCTGGAGAGAGGCAGAGACAAAGAGACCGAGACGCAGAGACACGGCGAGAGCATCCCTAGGCGGAGACACGCAGACAGAGCAGGCTGGGGGAAACCAGGAACAAGGAGAGAGATGGGGAGTGGGAGACCCTAATGGACCGCCACGCAGTCCCCTCCACCGGCCCGGTTTAGCTCCTACCTGGCTCAGCCCTGGGGCCGTGGTGCCTCCATCCAGGGCTCCGAGTAGGGGGCGAACCTGCTTCGGGAAGGGGGCGGCGGTCTCTGAGCCCCCGCGGTCCCGCAGGCCCAGCCCCCGCCCGCAGCGCCTCACCCGGCGGGGGAAGAGGATCGCCCCAGCCCCTGGGGGCGGGGCCGGGATCCGGTCGATCCCCGGGGAAAGGAGAGGTAGGAGATGGGGTCAGGAGGAACCCGAGAACTGGGAACCCCGCAGTGGGAACGGCGGAGCCAGGTGGGGGCAACGGGACAGGACTGGATTGGGGATCCACTGGCTCCGTGGGCCGGTTTCGAGGGACCAGAGGGCAGTACAAGCGGAGGATCCTAAGAGATCGAGGGCGGGAGGTGGAGTCCACGGCAATCCCCAGGAGCCCAGAGCCCAGGAGCGCAGGATCCGCGGTGCAGGGGCAGGGATCCAGCCGGAATCCTCGGGGAGGGGGAGGGATCTAGTCGATCCCGAGGGCGGGCAGGAGTGGGAGGTCCGGGGAGTCAGAGGGAGGGGGTGGGAGCTGGCACGGCTCCTAGGAGGTAAAGAGGGGGTAATGAAGAGGCTTCAGGGAACGCTCAGCAGATGGGAGGCCCGGACTCCTGGCTCCGCGCGCCAGGGCCCGCCCGCCCCGCGTCCATCCCAGC